TCTCCCCCCCACACACAAATAAATAAATAAATTTAAAAAAAAAAAAAGTCTTTGCCTGATGGGAGGTGTTAAAGATTTTTTCTTATTTTTTATCCTAGGAAATTCCATTGTTTCAACTCTCACATTCAAGTCATCTTGAGTTAATTTGTGTATTTCATGATATGTTTGTCTTTTTTTTTTTTTATCTGTTAGCTTTTACCTGGTTGTCCCAGTATCATTTTCAAACTTTGAGTGTGCAAGATTTATGTTCCTTTTGTTAGATGTACTTCTAAGCATGCAGTTTTTATGCTATTATGAATGACATTGTGTTCTAGTTTTCTTTTTGAATTTTGTTGTTTGCTTATAGATATGCAACAACATATCTATATTTGTTATATTTGTTACATATTGATTGGTATCCTACAAACTTCACTATTATTAGTTCTGATGATGTGTGAATTGATTTGGATTTTCCATGTACAAGATTAAATTTTTTCCATCTGGATTCCTTATTTTCTTGCCAAAAAAAATGTCTACTGCATTGGTAGAAACTCTAGTACTGTGTTAAATAGGCAGGAGCACATCAATGTGTGAATTGATTTGGATTTTCCATGTACAAGATTAAATATAATTTTTTCCATCTGGATTCCTTATTTTCTTGTCTGACTGCATTGGTAGAAACTCTAGTACTGTGTTAAATAGGCAGGAGCACATTTCCTTGCCTTGTTCCTAGTCTTGGTAGTGTTCATCTCTTACGTTGGGTGTGATCTTAGTTCTTAGTTGATGCCAGTCATTAGGGTGAGGACATTTTCTGCTATTCCTAAGTTGTTGAGTATTCTGAATAGGTTTTGGATATTGACAAATTTTAAAAATTTATTGATAATTATGTAATTTTTAACCTTTATCCTGTGAATATGATACTCTACAGTATGTTAGGTGAATTTTAGATGTTAGTCCAACTTTGCATTCTACGGGTAAATCCCATCTGTTCATGTTGCAGTCACCTTAATATTTTCGTCATGGATTTTTGCATCTATATTCCTGAAATGTGTTTTGTTTTCCCTTCTTGGGATGTTTTTATGTGGCTTGGTGTTATGGTGAAAATTGCCCTTTAGGAAGCACATCACTCTATTTTTTGAAAGTTGGTGGAGAATTAACAGTGTTCAGTGTTTACAAAATTTATCCATGAAGCTATCTTAGTTTATTTGTGGAAAGATTTTAATTTATTTATTTATTTATTTTTTGGTGGAACTGGGGATTGAACTCAGGAGTGGAAAGATCTTAAGTTATTTATTTTGTACCTTCACTTCTTAGGTCTTACAGGTTCTATCTTTGTTTTTCTTGAGTCAGTTTTGGTAATTTATGCTATTCTGGAAATTTACTCATCTAAGTTGTTGGAGTTGTTAGCATCATTTTATCTGTCTGTCTGTCTGTCTGTCTGTCTGTCTGTCTGTCTATCTATCTATCTATCTATCTATCTATCTATCTATCTATCTATTTTGGTGGGACCGGAGATTGAACTCAGGCCCTTGCGCTTGCCAGGGAAGCGTTTATTCCACTGAGCCATCTCCCTGGCCCCTAGTATCATTTTTTAAAAAGTGAGATTTATTCTCAGTTGCCATCTTAAGTGCCCCCGGGGCGGCAGGCCCAGTGATCTAACCCCCAGCCCCCATCCACTGAACTATTTGGCCTGTTACTTTTATCTTTAATTCAGGGCTACCTGTGTGACATTAGTTACTGGATTGGGAGGAGCTTAATTTTAAAACATTTTGATGAATACTGTTGACTGTTCTGTATTACATGCAGAGCTGGGGGGGCTTAGGAGTTTTTCTTGAAAGATGGCTTTACAAGATGGGGCTTTGTTTATGAGGCATGTATAAGGTCTATGAATACCAAACAGAAATAAATTATACACATCAAGCAATTGGCATACTAGATGGCTACTAATAGCCCTTAAGTAGAATTGTGTTTTTTGTTTTTGCAGAACCAGGGATTAAACTCAGACCCTTGCACTTGCTAGGGAATTGCTTACTCCACTGACCCATCTCCCTGAACTAGAGCACAAAACTGTTGTAAAGAAGACATTTAAACACTTAATTTCTGTGGAAAGTTGTTATGGGACACAGTCTTACGAATTCCTCCATTGGAAAAATACTGTAGAAAACAGGGAAATAATGAGAAACTGCTTTTTAAAGCCTCAGGAGAAAAGTTTCTTTAAAGTTGCAAATTCAAGTACCTTCAGGGCTATAATGGTTTGGATACAAGTACATGTAGTTATATGAGTTATGAGAAACTGGGAAAAAATTTCTTCATATTCTTCATCTTAGTGAGATCTGGTCACCAAATATTGATGATCTTTTTGTGAGGCATCTTCTCAGAAAACAACTAGAGAACTTTAGTCAGACATATAGGCATTAGTTTAATATTTAAAGAAATACTGCTTAGCCCATACAAAGTAGTCTGTGAATTATTGTGTCGTTTTACCATTTACAGTTTAGTGCCTGGAACAATTTAGAAACATGGACTCTCTCTCCCTCTCCCCCCTCTCTCCCTCTCCTTCTCTTCCCCCCTTCCTTCCTGCCGCATCCCCCCCCCCCGCTGAACCTTCTTCAAATTAAATCTGCTTTCTTCCTTTCTTGAATTAGAAAATATTCAAGTTAGTTGAGTACTGTGTGTTAGGATGAGCATTTCATCTCTCCAAATCCTAATGTCTTATTGCATAAATGGGAACGTAAAAAATTCTGTCCTAAAAAAAGGCCATTGAGAATTCCTTATATAGAAAAAAGTATATAGAAAAAAGTATATAGAAAAACTTACAGTATAGACATAGGACAAATGCAATAATATTTAGGAGAATTGAACACCTTCGTTAAGACCCAGATCTTTGAAGTTGGGCCTGGAATTCTGTGGAGAAATCCAAGCCAGGTGCCTTTCTGTAGTGACCATTGAATTCCAAACCAGACATTCATTAAAACTCATGAAGAAGTTAAAAAGCCTTTCAGCAAGGTGAGCTTACTCATGGGTTCTGAATTGTTGTAAGTCTAAGCATCTCAACTCCTTGTAGTTTGTGTGGTAATTCTTTACTTTTTCTTGCTGTTTATGAGGAGAGGGCACCTAGCCTTGTGTCACAAACCTATAATTGCAGCACTCGGGAGGTTGAGGCAGAAGGATCACTGGGAATTTGAGGCCACCGTAGGCTACCCAGTGAATTCAAGGCCAGCCTGAACTATATACAGCATGACCCTATCTCAAAACTTAGAATAATAGTAATTTCAAAATAAATGAAAGGGAGAAAAACAGCTGTTTTTCTGGGAGTGTATCTTGGTATTGGAGCACTTTGCCTTGTTTGCTCAGGGCATTGATTTCCATCTCCAGCACTTCCCCACCCCTCAGAAGGCTTCATACCTTTCTATAGCACTGTCTAAAATTTATAAAAAATGTACTTGTTATACTTACGCTCCTTTTTCTGTGTATGTGGCTGGCTGGGGACTGAACCCATGGCCTTGCATGTTAGACACGTATCTACCACTGCTGTATTCCCAGCTCTGCTTTACTTACCTGATAAGCCTTTGGCCATATTGCTCTACCTTACCTGTCTAGGAACTCAATTATTACTCCATTGTCACCAGTCAGAACATCATCGTCAGTGTCAGAGCATCAGTGGCACACGGTTTGATGCTACTGTAGTCATTTCTGGCTCTATCCATAGAAATTGTTAAGCACTTCCTGTCGAAAGCTACTTTCCAGAGTGTATCTTATTTTTTCTACCCCTTATCCTCAGCCTTTGATGTCTTAGCGGTTTCCAAATTTCTGTTGATGAGCAAAATTATTTCTTTGCAGAAAGCTTTTTAAGGGTTTCTTATTATAAATAGATTGAAGTGGATTTTTATGGGTGGGTTTCAGGTGGAAGAAAAGGTTATTTAAGAATGGAAGGAATCTCCTCTGGCCTTAGAGTAGAAAACCACTAATGTGATACTGCATTTTTTGAGTCTTTTCTGGTGGCACTCACGTGCCAGGTTCACATAGTAGGCAACTTACTGAGGGCTGTGCTGGCAGTATTGTTGTTGTTTGAGATTGGGTCTCCCTGTGTAGTTTATGCTGGCCTTAAACTATTGCGTAGCCCATGCTGTTCTCAGACTTACAGTGATCCTTCTACCTCAGCCTCTCACTTTTGATGTTAAGGCCTGTGCCACCACCCATAGCTTATTTTGCACCATTCTTCTTAGCAGTCGACTGCCAAAGGATAAAAAACACCCCCTAATCTTTGTGTAAAAGTTTCCTTTTAGATTGGTCAGTTGGCTTTTTAAAAGTTGTAGCACTAATTAGCAGTAATAGAGTTGAATCTTAACACAAAAGCAACAGAATTTTTCTTTTAAAAATCAGAGATGATGGAGCATTTTGTGTGTGTAGGGTGCTTTTTCCTCTCTTAAACAATATTAAGAATGGTCTTAAGTTCTTCTATTCTGTAACCAACAGGAGGACTCACAAATGGCAGTGGAAGATACATCTCTGCTGCTCCTGGTGCTGAAGCCAAGTACCGCAGTGCAAGCAGTGCCTCCAGCCTCTTCAGCCCCAGCAGCACCCTGTTTTCCTCCTCTCGTTTGCGATATGGAATGTCTGATGTTATGCCCTCTGGCAGGAGCAGACTTTTGGAAGATTTCCGAAACAATCGGTACCCTAATTTACAATTGCGGGAGATTGCTGGACATATAATGGAATTTTCCCAAGACCAGCATGGGTCCAGGTGAGGACTTGGCTTTGGCACTTAAGGTAACTGAAATTGTAATGCCTTAAATTCATGCCTCCAAAGGGCCACCCAGATAGCTCAGCGGATTGAAGTGCCTGTTAAGGCAGATGCAGGGACCAGTTCGATCCAGAGTTCAAAACCAGGAATACAGTGCCAGTGCCGGCCCCGTCCCCACCCTAGGATGTGCTGAGCCACTGATTGAGACGAGGCTGATTGAGACTGGGTGTGGTGGCACATGCCTGTAATCCCAGTGCTAGCTAGGCTGAAAATAGGAGGATCACTATGAGTAGTCCCATCTGCTTAGTGAGACCCTGTATTAAATAAAATTAAAAAAAAAAAAATGCACGCCTCACATACACATATATACTAAAACAAATTTGAAATAGTATAATTCAAAGTATGCTTTTACTATACTTTGCATTATTTATTTCAGAAGTACATGGCTTATGAGAGTCACTAGATAAGTGTTCGGACAAAGCCTTGAGTAGAGTAGATTCCTTTTAGCTTTCTGAAAAAGGAGTCTGTGTTTGCAGTCCATAAGACTCTTCCTGCAGTGCTGACGTGAGGCATATACCCACTTTTGCTACTGTTAAGCAATAGAAAAAATCTTTTGCTAAGAGAAGAGTCCTCAAATGTAAGTTTGGATCTCAGCTGTGTAAGAGTAGGTAGATCTTCTACCTATAGAGGTGAGTGTGGCAGCTGCCATAACATCAGACCAGACTAGTCTGCCTCATTCTGTTTGGCTGCTCTAGGGACTTTCCTAGAGATGAAACATCACCCAGACTTCTTTCCCATCTTCTTCTGTGTCCTTTTGTTTCCCCTCCTCTTCCTGTACCCACTGAAACAACACCCAGTGACCTTCCTTCACTTTAAGTTCTGGTGTCCTGCTTCTGTACAAGTGCTGCTCATATTTGGAGTTAAATAGGTGAGATTCAGAGACAGCATGATTTTCCTGAGGTAAACAAGGCAAACTGGGTAGTTGCTACTTAAGATAATGAATATTGCTATTTCTAGATATGAGTTAAAGAATATAGTAAGGGTCATAAGTTTTGGGTTACCGATGTAGGGCTAACTTCTAAAAGCAAAATCAAGAGGCACTTAAAATTTTGTGTACATACCCTACAATAAAGAAATGTGATTGGGAGCCGGGGAGAATAAGCACTTGCCAAGCAAACACAGGGTCCTGAGCTCAATCCCTGGTACTGGAAAAAAAAAAAAAAGAAAGAAAGAAATGTGGTCAGGTATGGAGTGCATCCCTGCAGTCCCACTTGCTGAGGTGGAGGATTCCTGTAAGTTTGAGGCCAGCCTGGGCTACATAAGTGAGTTCAAGGCCAGCCTATACTATACAGGGAGACACTGAGCACTCCACCCCCCCGCAAAAAAAAGTGTTAGAAGTTTTAAACATTCCGCTACTTGGAATAATTCCCTCTTTTAGAAATTTTTAAAGTGAGCTCATATTTCAGAACTAATAAAGTGTGACTTATTAATTTCCAAGTTTTTAAATGCTATAATTGCTCGTTTTACTTTTTGCTTCAGATTCATTCAGCTGAAACTAGAGCGTGCTACAGCAGCTGAGCGTCAGCTTGTCTTCAATGAGATCCTCCAGGCTGCATACCAGCTAATGGTGGATGTGTTTGGAAATTATGTCATTCAGAAGTTCTTTGAAGTAAGTCTTTGTTCTTTCTATACTTTGACTTTAGAGAATATCCAGAGTAGTTTGCCTTTCGTTGCCTTTTTAAAAGAACAGCTCTGTTTCTATTCCTTAAAATAAAGTGTGTGTGGTCTTTCTGAAGAGTTTTTTTAGTTTTTTCTTCCGTTCATTAGCAATGAACCCAATTCATTGGTTTGTTCATTCTATATGGTTTAAATACCCAAGCAGGTTATGCTAGTCTATTCTGGAAATGTGGTTGGAGAGCTGTCCCTGTTAAAGACTCAGCACATTTATTTCTGAGTGTCACAATGGTTTTATTAAACACATCACTTTTGGAGGAAATCATTGTTTTAAGGTAATTTTTAGCAGGATTATAACTGATGTAAAAAATGAAAAGAATTAAAGATTTCTAGAAAATTGTCTTTAAACACCAACTCCAGTGTTTTTCTTTAGAATCTAGTTTCATTAAATGCTTCTGGGAAGATCTTTTGGCCATTACTTTTTACTTTGCCTCTCTCTCTCTCTCTCTCTCTCTCTCTCTCTCTCTCTCTCTCTTTTTTCTTTTTCTTTTTTTTTTCGTATTTTAGGGAAGGATCTACAAGGTGTTCAGGGTCTCACTACTAGATCAGACTCCTACTGATCCGCCTGTTTATAACCTCCCAAGAGCTGGGATTTTAGGTGCGTGCCACCATGCCCAGTCTCAGTTGCTTCTCAGCTTGCCCCAGGGATGGGGCCGGCATTGGCATGGCAGGCCTGGGGATCGAACCCCTGGCCCCTGTACCTGCTTGCAGGCACTTTAATCTGCTGAGCTATTTGGCCGACCCTTACTTTGCCTCTCTTAATTTGATTATGTTGATTGTTGCTAACATTATCTATGAAAAGAAAATATAAAAATGGTGGGTTGGGGCTGGTGAGATGGCTCCGTGGTCTGAAGCACCTACTTAGAACAAGCTTAGCAATGCACAGGGACCGCGGTTCAATCCCCCAGCACCACATGCCAGCCAGCCCCGCCCCCTGGTGGGCTGAGCTGGCCACACACACACACACACACACACACACAAATAAATAAATAAAAATTTAAAAAAAAATGGTGGGTTAATGTCTGTCCTCTAAAGAGATAAAATTTCAGAAAAGTAGTTTTTTACATACCATTGTTGGCAAGTTACAAATCCAATTGGTGCTTAGTCATTTTGTAACTTTCTGCGGTAAATAATACCCGACCCCCACAACTTGAAGGAAAGGAACTTTAGTTTGGCTCCCATTCTGTAAGTTTCATTGTTTTATAGACACCTGACTCCAGGGAGGAATGGCATGGTGGCAGACCCCAGATGGAGACAAGATGCTCCTGTCCTGACAGTCAGGAAAGGCGTCAGGGTTACAGAGAAAAAGGGCAAGAGAGAGAGTTGAAGGTAGGATGGGAGATACCACCCTTCTAAGGAAGGCCCTCAGTTAGTTCCCCATCTCTTCTGATTGTATACCCCTCCCATTGTAGACTCACCAGGGGACTAATCTACCAGTAGCACCAGCACGACCTGTTCACTTCCGCAAAGCCACATCTCTGTATGTGTGAGGCTTTGGAGAGGACATTCAGATACAAACCATAATAGGCACAAGCTGTTAACACTAAGAAGCTGTTATAGCAATAAATATTAAAACTTTGAATACTACCTGTGGCCAAACAACCTTGTGAAGTTCTTATATCTTTTTTTGTTTTTGTCTGTTTGGCTTTTTTTATTATGTAGTTCAGACTAGGTGCTATGAAGCCCAGGATGGCCTCCACCTTGTGGCAGTCCTCTTGCTTCATCCTCCCAAGTGCTGGGGTTATAGGTGTACAGTACCAAACTCGCTTTATTTTTCAGTATGAAGATTTTAAAATGTCTTCTACTGGTCATGGTGGTACATGTCTGTCATCCTGGCTAGGTTTGGAAAGCTGAGACAGGAGGAGTATGAGGTTGAGGCCATTCTGGGCAAGTTACAGGCCCATTCCTCAAAGTTTAAAAAATAATCAACTGAATGGGGATATAGCACAGTGGTAGAGTGTAGAGTGGTTTCTCATATGCATGAGGTCCTGGATTCAATCTTAAGTATGAGAGGGGGAAAAAAAAGGCTTCCTATTCAGTCTTTAACATCTCCATTTTTGTTATAAAGCCTTAAGTTCTAACTGTATACTAAAGAAAAAGTTTCAGTATGTCTCTTACACTGTTGATATTAGAATGTTTCTTTACTACTGTTCTGCCATGGATACAAAAAATAGAGAACCACAGCTCTAGAGAGCTACACTCAGCCTGGTGTAGGTTGGAATGGCTTAGCATGCAAGTAGGATGTAACCCTGTGGTTTTGGGAAAGCTTGAAACTTCCCTGGATCTTCTTGCCCTTTTCCAGAAAGTGCGCGGGTTGGGCAGGTTGAGAATTCATGAATTCTTCTGTAGTTTCATAATTATGCTATTTAGAGGAAAATAAAGCCAATGATAGAAAGTCATTCTCAATACAAACAGCAAATAAATATAGGAAAAAATGTTCAACATCACTAGTCATTCGAGAGATGCAAGTTAAAACAACCCTGAGATTCCATCTCACCCTGGAAAGAATGGCTATTATCACAAACTCATCCAATAACAAATGCTAGAGGAGCTGTCAGGAAAAAGGAACCCTTCCCCACTGTTGGTGGGAGTGCAGACTGGTACAACCACTGTGGAAATCAGGGTGGAGATTCCTCAGAAAACTAGGGCTGGAGGTCCCTTTTGACCCAACTATTCCCTTCCTGGTTATATATTCTTAGGAGAATTGAAAACATCATTCTACAGTGATACATATACATCCATGTTTATGGTAGCATAATTTGTAATAGCTAGATCTTGGAAACAACCCAATTGCCCATGAACCAAGGAATGGATAAAAAAGATGTGGTCTATTTCTGTATTAGAGTACTGCTAAGCCATAAAGAAAGATAAACTTGAGGCTTTTGTAGGTAAATGGATACAACTCAAGACATCTCATAAGTGAAATAAATCGGACACAAATGTGTAAACATTATATTGTTTCTCCCTAGTGTGAGAGGCTGAATGCACAAATAAGATCCAAAATATACAGCAGCTATTTAAAAATGGGAGGAAATTTCAAAAGGAAAGAGAAACTAGATTGAGGGAATGGAGAAAATGGAAAAGCAAACGTAAAAATATATAAGATATATATGATAAAACTACATGATAGTTAAAATAGTTATACTGCTAATTTCTTAGGTCATTGAAAAGATAGGTTTGTTTGGACAATTAAATGCTGATACCTTGTACTCTGCAGAACTAATTTAAAGATAACAGTACCCAATATATTAACCATTGTTTACCCCCTATCATTGTATTGGAATTTGTTGTTGCCCTCCCTTCCTCCTTCCTTTCTCCTTCCCTTCCTTTCTTTTTATTTAGTGCAGGGTCTACAGGGTTTCACTACACAGATTGGACTCGTAGTGATCCTTGTGTTTTCAGCCTCCCAAGTGCTGGGATTATAGTCTTGTGCCACACCCAGTCTCAATTGCCCTCTCGGTACATCGGGGATCAAATTCTGGTCCCTTGCGTCTACCTAAGCAGGTGTTTTAAAACTGCTGAATTATCTGGCTGGCCCTGTTGCTTATTCTTTAAAATAAAAACAAGAAAGAAGAAAATCATTCTCAGTCTGATGTTAATGGTTACCCTAGTCTTCTGATTCTGCTAGCTTTTCCCCTCCCAAGTCTGTTGGCTCATGTAAATAGTAACAATTCTTTAAAAGACACAGTGATTTGGCTTCAACTTTATGTAGATGAAAGCACTTTTCAGCCAGTGGCCCACAGTACTTCCAGTGCTGTGTTTTGTTGCAAGATGTCCTTCCATCTTTCTTAGGCATCTTCTGAAACCCTAAAAAAAGGTACTTCTCATGCAGTAATCATTTTAGAATAAATATATGTGCTTTTATAATGAATGGGATATAGATCAACTTGATAGTATCGATTAATGATAGCTTTAAGGATTAAATATTTGTTTAACAAAAATTGTATCTGCGAAACATTGTAACATTAAATGAAGTTTCTCATTAAGGACTGAGCACTACTGGCTTGAAGAAACAAAGATCTGTAAAATAAAAGCTTTAGTTAATCATAGGTAACAGGGCTAAAGGAGGTTTTGTCAGTGATTGGTGCAGAATAATGAAAGCTTTGCTTTCTCTGGTTTATTTCCTTCTACCTGAGTAATGGTGTTCACCCACATGTTCTGTCTAGTTTGGCAGCCATGAACAGAAGCTGGCTTTGGCAGAACGAATTCGAGGCCACGTCTTATCATTGGCACTACAGATGTATGGTTGCAGAGTTATACAGAAAGCTCTTGAATTTATTCCCTCAGACCAGCAGGTAATTGTAAGTTTCCCCTTTAACTTTTCTCTTGGTGTTTGATGTTTCTCCGTGGAATGTGCAGTGACTCCTATAAATCTGTCAGTCTTTGGTTTTCTTTCACAGTGTTGCATTAGTGCTCATGGCTATGTTTCTGTGCATGGCAAGCATGAAGTATGTAGTTTTGTACATTTAGAGTGGGTCAGGCCTCTTGTGTTAAACCAGTAGATTCCAACACCCTTTTTGACTGGAACTTAGCCATTAGTAGATACACTTACACAGTTTGGGTGCTTTTTGTACCTATAATTGAAATGGGGGCTGGCCAGATAGCTCAGTGAACTAAAGTGCCTGCTTAGGCACAGCACAGCAGCCAGGGCTCAGTCTCTGGTGTACTGTGCCAGCCCTGCCCCTGGGGCGTGCGAGACTGAGACTGAGACTGGGCATGGTGGCACGCGCCTGTAATCCCAGTGCTTGGGAGGCTAAAAACAGGAGAATCACTACAAGTACAATCTATGTAGTGAGACCCTGTAGACCCTGTACTAAATACATTAAAAAAAATAAAAAAGAAGAAAAAGAAATGGGTAAAATGTTCATATGTTACCATTTTCTTGAACCTAAGCTGACCATCACAACACACAAAAGCTTTCATTTCACCCGTGTTCCACTCCCTCTTGTTTACTCTTTCTGTTACCATGTACTCAACAAATTGGTGCTCTGTGCCAGGCACTGGGCAGCAGAGATGACTGAGACCTGATCCCTCCCTGCTGCCCACTCTCTGGTGGGGAAGGGCGTTGGAAGGCAGTAGTACCCACATGAGAGAGGCTCTTTGGCCTGTCCAGTGTTCCCGAAGGAAGACTTTGCAAAGGACAATGGTAAGGAGGTGTGAGGCAGAGAAAAGGGTCAGTAGTCTGTGAAGTTAGGTGCTCTGAGTGGAGAACTGATGGAGAAATCCCCTGAAGACGCATTGGGCTTCAGAAATACTCACAGGGTAGGTCCACCCATCACCCTTTGTACTTGTGCCAGGGAGCCCCGTGTCTCAGGGTGCTTCTGACCCCAGCTGTCAGTCAGGGGCTCTTCTCACCTTCTCATTTGAGGGGTCGCCATCATCTGGCAGTGATGACCCACTTGCCCTCACTGAGAACAAAGTTCGTTAATGAGAATCTTTGTTATGGACTCGAGTTCTGAGCCAGGCGAGATGCGCACCCCGTCCGATTCACATCCAAACCACCAGGCTCTGGTGTTTGTGTTGGCAGAGATGGCAGCTGGGGAAGCCCAGAGTCCTCAGGTTGAGTTTCACAGATAAGTATGTGAAGATGCTGGGGAAGGCAGAGGCAACATTAAGACAGCGAGTTTGGGTTTGTTTCACACAGTGCTCTGTGCTAGAGATGTAATTGAAATTTTTTTTTTTTTTTTTTTAAAGCTGGTGTTTGGGGCTGGGGAGATAGCTTGGTGGTGTAGGTGCCTGTCTGGCAAGCTCCAGGATCCAGGTTCAATCCTTGGTACCGCATGCTGGGCTGGCCTGAGAATATAGCGAGAACCTGTACCAAATAAATAAATCTGATGTTTGTAAGTAATTAAAAGCAAATGTAAGGCTATTTTGAGCTTTCATTTAATGCTTATAGGACACTTTAGTTTTCCTAGATAATTGAATCTTTCCTCTTATTTTTTCTTTTTGCGGTAGGAAGGAGTGAACCTGGGGCCTTGGCTGTGCTACCTGAAGGCAAGCGCTCTTCCTCTAAGCTGTGTTTTCAGTCCTTGTTTCTTTTAAGCACGAGAGGTTTTGCCCATGTGCTCTTTTGACCACTTGTTGAAAGAATGCAGAAGTGTGCTGCTTTGTTATATATCTCCCCGGCACTGCCACCATTCTCCCTCATGAATGTGCTAAGCTGTTGGGTTTTGTCTCTGACTTTCAAATTTTACTCTTTTCAAATTGGATGGATGAGTATAGTGCAGAAGTTTTTTTTTGTTTGTTATTTGATTTTTGTTAAACCCTCCCCCTTACTCTCAATCTGGTTTTTCTGTCTTCTAGATTTATGTGTCTTTTTTCTCCTCTGGTCCTATTTCTCTTGTGCTATTCTGTTTTAGGTTTGAATTTCTTCCTGCTGTGGATAATGTGCTGTGCTTTAAATGCAGGTTTATTTAAAATAATAAAATTATGATGAAATTAGCTTAGAACAGATTTTACTTCTTTCAAATCAAGAAAATATTTAGGGAAGACATTTTTCCCTTTGTTCATAAGTTATCTTCATATTTCTATTGTATAAGCATCATTCATTATCTTTTCTCTAATTAAATTTCTGAAGTAAATTGTTCTCTGTGCTATTTGATTAGATACTTCTCTTTTAGCATTTGATTAGTAAACTTTCCTTTATATTTTACCATTGTAATCTTAATTGCTCCGACGTACTCTGTATCTCAGGGACTGAGACTGTTTCGTCATTTTCAAGTGACTGTAGTTATCTAACAGTCACTGCAGTAAGCAGAAATGGGTGGCAGGAAGGAAATTAGATAGCAGGTACCAGGGCACAGCCATGCACAGTCAGTTCTGTTCAAATTCCTAAGGCAGATGACTTTTGAGGCAGGGCTTCAGGCTGAATCTGTCTTTCTATACCTTTGTTGCCTTCACCCAGTCCTTAACCAGGCACATACCCGCTCTCACATTCACACATATATACACATAGGCTGTTGTCTACATTATCTTGTTTGGATAGTTTGCATTAGTTAACTGAGGAAACATTCCTGTCTCCTTTATAGGCATTATAAATGTGATGCCACAGTCTGGGCTTGAATTCTTTCTTATTCTCCTGATTTCTCCTATAGTCTTTTTCTTCTTCTTTTCTTTTGAGACATGATTTTCTCTTGCTGTTCAGGCTGGCTTTAAAATCAGGGGCTTAAAAAAATAAAATAAAGTCTTTGGGGCTAAGTCTCTGCAGGCCCGGAACTGCAGGTGTGTACTACCATACCTGGTTGTATTTGTAGTTTAAATATATGGTTTAACTCCTCTCAGGCTCAGTGTCTAAATATATGTGCATGGAAAGGCTGTGAAGAACATGTAGTTGACAGTTGCTTTGCCAACAAATGCTCATTCCACACACTGAAGCCAGATTGCTTGGGTTTGAATCTTGGCAGTGTGGATCTAGATTTTGAACAAATCTTTCAACTTTTTTTGTGCTTTGCTTCTCCATCTGTAATAGTGCCCAATGCATAGGTCTGTTAGGAGCAGTCTGGGGGTAAAAACACAGTAATTATAGCATTGGCAACTTGGGGTCAACTTTAGATTAATACTTGCTATTATTAATAATAAGCCATAGCAGAGTTGTCAAAGTAAAATACTGAATTGCATGTGAAATCTTTTAATATAGTTTGTTTCAAATCGATTCCTTTCTGTGTGAAGAGGTTTACAGTTTTATTTATTTATTTATTTATTTAGGTCTATAGTTTTAAACAGGTGCCCACTGGCCTGAACCATGCATGATTATCCCATTGAGTGGTGCTACAAACAAATGCCACTTTTATTGGTCTTTTTACTAATGAAGTTAATAAAAAGCCACCTGATGCTACCATCACATATTTACCACCAGTGGTTCAAGCTGACCCACAACGAGACAAATGAATTATGGCCCTATCATGAATGTGTTAAAGCTCTGAGAAGTCTTTCTCAATTTAGAGATCTTTTGTGATACTGGTTATCCATATAGTAACCTTTATTATATAGTAGATTTGTAAGCACACAGAAGAACTTGAGCCCTGACTTGTTGCCACATTGTCATACTGTCACATTTGCATTGTTCCATTTGCATTGTCACTGAATGGAATTCAGTAAGGAGACTAGACTGTGCAGGTATTGCTTGGTGTGATTCTGTTGTTGCTTTCTTTCCTTGTATCCAATAGAATGAGATGGTTCGGGAACTAGATGGCCATGTCCTCAAGTGTGTCAAAGACCAGAACGGCAATCATGTGGTTCAGAAGTGCATTGAATGTGTGCAGCCTCAGTCTTTGCAGTTTATCATTGATGCATTTAAAGGTCAGGTAAGTGACTTAGGAAAAGAAATAAAGGAAGCAAATCAATGAATGTTTCTTTTGTGAGCAGCAGACAGAATAGAATTTGTGGCGTGTGCTCAGTATGCTTTGTTTGTCTAAGGCTGCAGCAAAAAGTAGTCCTCCAAGGTGGCTCTGTATTACCAGCCTTCTTCTTTTAACTGTCTTTGGGTCTTCTCTTCATCATTAAGGCAGATGTCGCTCATGTTGGAATGAAACACTGTCATTAGAATTGTTAAGATGAAACCTCATATTTGATGAATAATATTTTTCTTCAATTAAATATTATTATCCTAACATTTATTGATTGCTTCATTACTTTTGGTGGGAGTGGGGTGGTACAGAGTCTTAGTGTGTATTTCAGGCTGACCTGTACAATATATATTCTAGGCTGGCCTTGAACACACAGTGATCCTCCTGCCTTAGCTCTCCAAGTGCTAGTATTACAGGTGTGTGCTGCCATGCCTGGCTGTTCTTTTATTTAAAGGGTATTTTATAGTTTTATTTTAGTTTGATACACAATTTCGCTATGCAGTTCAGACTCAGTGATCCTCCTCCTTCAGCCTCCCTAGAGCTGGAATCACAGGCGTGCACCACCATGCCCAGTTCCAGGCTGGTGATCATGCGATACTGGTGATCAAACTCGGGACCTTGGGCTTGCCAGCCAGGCGCTTATGCCACTGAGCTATCTCCACAGTCCTTAAAGGGCATTTTAAAGATTCTGTTTATTTGTAGAAATAAACTTGGGGCTGGGGAGATGGCTCGAATAAGCGATTCCTTGGCAAGTGCAGGGCCTGAGTTCAAACCCCAGTTCCACCAAAAAAAGAAATAAACTTGTAGGTCATACATGAATATATCTTTAAAATAAGTAGGCTTCCCTTACCTAAAATTTTTTGGAGGGAATGTATGGTTCAGATTGGTTTGAACTGCATAAGTAGCCATATAGCAGAGATAAATTATAATTTTTCCCATTTACTGCCATGTCAAAAGTCTATTCTTCACACCAGCTTTTAAGTTGTTACTTTTCCTTGGTCTTTCCTGAATTGCCTCTGAATTATTTTCTAAGGGACAGGAAAGTAAAATATATTGCCTTTTTGAGTATGTGATAACATTTTTAAAAGAAAACCGAAGCAAACTCTGTAGATTTTTTTACTGGTAGTAAAAATCAGGTATAGTTAATCAGAAACATATATGATTAAGCCTAGATTGGTGAATGGTTTCAACTCTTGTAGGTTTTGTAAAAATTTCTTCAGTTACTGCAATGATTAGATGGACTAAAGTTAGAATTCAGGGGTCTTAGCTGGGTGTGGTGGTGTATGGCTGTAATTCCTGCACTTGGGAGGCTGAGGCAGGAGGATCACTATGGGTTTGAGGCCAGCCTGGACTATGAAGTGAGGTCAGAGCCAGCCTGAACTGCATGGTGAGACCCTGTCTCAAAAACACATTAAAAAAAAAGTATATATGGGTTTTGAAAGACAAGATTCTGTGTGAAGCGGGTATGGGAAGACCCAAGATATGTGCGCCTGTGTGTATTTGCTTTGAACACAGTGCTGGGGAATAGAACCTAGGACCTAACATGTGCTGATTGAATGTTCTACCACTGAGCAGTATCTGGAAAGGATAGTATCAAGATGAAAGTGTCAAACGGTTGATAGCTGCAACATACAAAGAGCCTCTGTGATCAAAGAAAGGAATATAATGTAATGAGAAAAATGAGCCCAAGCATGAAATAACATTTCATAGAAGAAACACTGCCAGTAGACATATGCAGAGTTGATTCAGCCTGCTGGAACCATGATCTTCCAGTAATTTGCAAAAATGACCAACACAAAGGACGAGAGGAGAGGAATCTGGTATATGTTCTCTAGGCCTTTTAGAAAACATGGCATTGTTCTTTTGGCCACATACTTGCAAATCTACAAAAAGGTGATATTGTAGACATCAAGGGACAGGTACCGTGCAAAAAGGAATGCCACACAGATGTTACCCAGCATGCTGTTGGCATTGGTGTAAACAACCAAGTTAAAGGCAAGCTACTTCCCATGAGGATTAATATGCATATTGAGCATATTAAGCACTTAAGAGTTGCTGTAGCTTCCTGAAACCAGTCAAGGAAAATGATCAGAAAAAGGAAGCCAAAAAGAAAGGTATTTGGGCTTAACCGAAGCACCAGCCTGCCTCACCCAGAGAAGCACACTTTGTGATCACAACCAATAGGAAGGAGCCTAGTTGTTGGGACCTGTTCCTTAAAAATTCATGGCATAAGCTGGGGATGGAGCTCTGCCATGCAGCACCTAATTGTCAGCTTAAGTGTTTTAGGTCCTACTTAAAAATAAGGAAAAGCCATCCTGGGTTGTTGGGATGGTTTTCCTAGTTAAACAGGTATGTGATGCCCGTTTACCTCAGATATATTTGGAGCAGATTTTCATTACACCTAGTAATTGTCTCTTCGGTGTTTTTCTTGCTAAAAGATATCACAGAGGTATTGTGCAGGTACAAATCCAAATGTGCAAATATTTATGAAGTGTTCATATTGGCTTGAAGATCATTTCAGTTAAACAAATGGAAGTCTATTTCAGTTAAACTCTTAGACAAAGAGAAAAGTTGATTCTGTTAGTAATGGGGGAGATCCAAAAAGAGTCCCCAAAGACTGTTTCCCACCCTTCAGTTGCAGGTAATAATGAAAAGTCTAACAAACTGCCATTCTGGAAAAACATTTAGTATCTTTGAAATTTCAGCATTTGTATTTCTAGTGATCTGGTATTTCAGGCCTAGTTTCATGACTCGTGTAACAGCTGCACAATGTATATGCCCTGAGACTTATGTAGACATATATAAAATAGAATTATTCTACTTGGGCTGGCGAGATAGCTCAGCAGACTAAAAAGCACATGCTGTGCCAGCCCCACCCCTGGGGTGGGCTGAGCCAGCCATAGTCTGGGAGAAGTGGAGCATGCCTTTAATCCCAGTGCTGTGGAGGCTGAAAGTAGGAGGATCACCATGAGTCTGAACTGTGTAGTGAGAACTTGCAACAACCAAATATATTTTAAAAAAGAAGAAGAATTACTACACTTATGGGAAAATACTAAGCATTGCGGATGTCCATGAGCTGAATCTTGGATTGGATCCTATATATCTCTGCAGGGTAACCTACAGTGTTATCCACAGTCTTATAAGTGAATGTTGGAAATGTAAGGTTGAGTGACATTTCTAACACTGCTTATAGGCTGTGAGTGTAGCACTTTTATAAAGCTAAACTCAAGAAGAACACAGTATATTAACCAGTTTTAAGCATAAAAGCTACCTATATAAAAGTCATAAAGCTCTTAATGCAGTGACTGACACTTGATGGGGAAGCATTCAGTACACGTCAGCTATTGTTACTGCTCCTGTCATTGTTCCTGATTACAGGTCTGTGTTACAACTCCTTTTGCTTGGGTGGGCAGAATCAAGATTGAATGTCTGATCCAAAGCCCATGCAGGGGTTGAGGATGTGGCTTAGTGGTTTGTTTCTTGCCTTGCCTGCACAAGGCCTTGAATTCAATCCTCAGCATGGGGTGGGGGGCACTTCCCTGTGGGTCATTTAGGATTTTCTCCCAGCCCTCCTTGCATGCGTTGGATAAGCTGTCTCTGATTGAACACCTACATCCCTTCTGTTTGTTTTTAAATATATATATATTGATTGATAGATAGATAGATAGATAGATAGATACATACATACATACATACATACATATCTTTTGGGTAGGGTATTGAATGACAGTCATGGCTCTTAACTGTGTTTTTTGTGATTTTTCTTTTTGGACTTGGAAAAGTTTTTCATTCTGACTTAAAGAAAATTAAATGAATTTCCAAAAGAATTAAGAAATGGATTGATTTACATACAAGAGACATAACACCCCTTGATATTTGTACTGAGAACTTAAAAACCATTAGGTTAATTTGTGAAAATCAGTGAGATAGTGTGTATAAATGTGTTTTAAACAGTGAAAGTAGCAAGTGTCATTTTTGACTTTCTTTATACATTGTCTGCCCTAGGTGTTCGCTTTGTCCACACATCCTTATGGCTGCCGAGTGATTCAGAGAATCCTGGAGCACTGTCTTCCTGACCAGACTCTTCCTATTTTAGAGGAGCTTCACCAGCATACAGAGCAGCTTGTACAGGTAGTGGGGCTGCCAGTAGAGGAGCGGCTTACCCCAGTGGGCCTCAGAACACTCTGGCACACCGTGTGCTGCTGTGTTTCATCAGCACAGTTCCACAAGTTAATATGTCTTAAGTACCCATGAGTCTTTTTCTAGCAGTCTAGTTTGTGTTTCGTGACTATGGGCTGTGATTAGAGAGAGCCTGGACCTTGGAGTTAGAGGTGACTTCTGGAGCTATTGTGGGCTTTGTCACATTAAGGAGACCATTTAATTCCTCTGTGTCTCAGTCTCATCTTTGTTAGACCAGCTAAGGATTTTAGCCAATTTGTTACCTCTTTCAGGCTTGATACTTTTCTCTTCTACCTGTTTTGGACATAAATTTATTACAGAAAGGTGCAGCTAACTACCTGTATATTGCTAATGACTATTCTCAGAACACTCTCCTCTCCACTTTTAAAAGTATAGGACTACTTTTTTTTCTTTTTCTTTTAAGATAGAGCCTCACAGTGTAGCCCAGGTCAGCCTTAAGTTCACTAGGTAGTCCAGGTTGACTTTGAACTCAGTGATCCTCCTTCTTCTCCCTCTCTAGTGCTGGGATTATAGGTGTGTGACACCGTGCCTGGCTAGGCCTACTTTTTAGATGCAGTAATTAATGAAGATTCAAGAAGAATGTCTCGATAGATGAAAAGATATTCCTTTGTCTAGTAATATGTTCCTATTTTATAATAAAGGCAATTGTTACTATTCATGTTAAAATTCTCTAGTTTTAGTGTTCAGATAAGCCATCAGACTGAACAAGAAAGATATGTATTACCTAGTTGTAAGACCTAAATAAACCTCAGAAGTGGTTTTTACATACATTTACTTTTCTTGTTTCTCAAACAGGATCAATATGGAAATTACGTAATCCAACATGTATTAGAGCATGGTCGTCCTGAGGATAAAAGCAAAATTGTAGCAGAAATCCGGGGCAATGTACTTGTATTAAGTCAGCACAAATTTGCAAGGTATGTGCTTTGTATTCCATGGCTGCTTTTTCAGAAGAGAGGAGTAAATAGTAGTCCAGTTATAGAAAAATTGATATTTATTTATTTAGCATATCTAGCTTTTCAGGTAGTTTTACAAAGTCAGGAATGCATGAAGACCCTTACGTAGGCTTCTCACTGCTTAGTCACTGTGAAATCTGGGGACTGTGTTTTAAAATTATAACACTGAGACTGGGCATGGTAGCATGTTCCTGTAATCCCAGCTCTTGGGAAGCTGTAAGCAAGCAAATCACTAGGAGTCTGATCTAGTAGTGAGACCCTGAATACCTTGTAGACCCTTCCCTAAAAATAAAAATAAAATTATAGCACTGTGCCTCACTGGCTATTTAATGAGCTAAATTGTTTGTAATTGTGGAATGTTTTATTACTCAGGTTCCTCCTTAGCCTGAAAGATAGGCAGTTTATATATCTCCATAAACCTCAGGGTTCTCAGAACCTCATCTCTCACTTCATAGTGTCCAGGCTCAAGAGTGAAGCATGCTGGCTTCACACAATTCCCAGGTTGTGTTTAGGTGACTTATAAGTAACAGAGGCTGGAGAAGAAATTGATGGCTCTTCCATGGGGGTTAGTGGGATGCTCTAAGTAGTCTAGCTGTCCTGCCATTTATACAGCATGGTGCTTTACATTTTTTGAATATTTTCTTTCCTGGTTGTTAGGATAAATTGCAGGCTGGGTAGTATTTATATAACTTTCATATTAATGTTTACTGTTCTTTGTTTTGTTTTTAGTCTTTTTTGGGGGGAGGGTTCTTTGTGTTTTTGAGACAGGTTTTGCTATAGTTCAGGCTTTCCTTGATGTTCATTTTAAATTTATAAAGTGTTGGACCAGAGAGAGAGCTCAGTAGAATAAGCACTTGCCTGGTAAATGCAAGGTCCTGAGTTCAGTCCCTGGTACCGCAAAAATAAAAACAAAGTCTTATGACATTATGACATGAAAAATAGAGAAAGAAAAGTACCCAAAGTTGGTGATTTGGTGTATAAGGAGGAATGTTTAATGGAATAGTCACATGTGCGGTAGGTTGCCGTAGAAAGTAGTTACTTTGGAATCATTAGTGATTTCCAAGCTTTAGTTAAATGATTATCTTCCAGGCTGCAGGAAAAGGCATCCTGTACTGCTAGGTACAGACTTTTTAAGGTTCTTTTCCTTGTTTTGTTTGTTTTATTTTTGAGATAGGGTCTCCCTTTGTAACCCAGGCTGGCCTTGAACTCTGATACTGTCTCAGTCTCCTGAGTTCTGGTGTTACAGGAATGTGCTATCATGCTCAACTCTTGAGGGTTGTGTGACCCAGAGTAGCTCTTTCCCCCTGCATGAATTCTTTGCTTGTGAAGCCTTCAACCCTGTTCCCTGCTCTGCATCCCATGTCCTTCCTACCAGGGGTTCGGCTTAGCTGCGGCACTATACATGCACATAGTATGCATTATTCTCTGACGTCATGCAGCTTCGTTCCTGCAGAAGCACAGGTGCAGGCAGGGTAGTGCTGTCTGATAGAACTCAACAGCAGTGAGTAGTCACTCTTGGATGGCGATAGCCATTATTGTGGCAGCATACAGTTCGGTTTCCACAGTCCCCATGGACTGTGTAAAATCATATTGTACACACTCCTGTTTTCCTTTCCCAATATGATATATTTGTGAAATATTCAGAGATGCTGACAGACCTGAGGGTCCTGTTCTTACCTTCCCTGTAGGCACCATGTGCTAGTTTACCAGAGGTGCGGTGGCCTGAAGTTAAAGTTCCTTCACTAAATCTGAGAGCCTCTGCTAAGTGCCACTCTGTGCTGGTAGCAGAAGACAGGCATCAGTGAGATTTATGCTTGCCTTCCGTCAGCTCACAGAGGTGAAGAGAGGATTGATGGGTTGGGGTTAGACATCATTGACTGTTGGATACCTCAGATGGTGGAGGTGAACACTCTTTAAGAACTGACAGTGGGTGGATTCATTCTCATAAATGCTAGCTCTCACTTGCTGCACAGGGGATCCTCTTCTAAGAATTTCTCTGGATCTGTCTCATTACAGCAACGTTGTAGAAAAGTGTGTCACCCATGCCTCACGTACAGAGCGTGCTGTGCTCATTGACGAGGTGTGCACCATGAATGACGGTCCCCACAGTGCCTTATACACCATGATGAAGGACCAGTATGCCAACTACGTGGTCCAGAAGATGATTGACGTGGCAGAACCAGGCCAGCGGAAGATTGTCATGCATAAGGTGGGTGAACAGACTTAAAAAAAAATTTTTTTTCTATGTATTTAGTACCGGGTCTACAGGGTCTCGCTACAGAGGTCAGACTCATAGTGATCCTCCTGTTTTCAGCCTTCCAGGTGCTGGGATTATAGGCTTGCCAGGAACTGAACCCTGGACCCTATGCTTACCTAAGCAGGTGCTTTAGTCCGCTGAGCTATCTAGCTGGCCCTTAAACTTATAATCAGAGAGAAGGGATACAAGGCCTTGGGTTCATTTCTAAAAGAAAAGGGAAGGTAGATCTCTTCTGCCTCTTTCTGCCTGCCTGCCTACCTGTCTTTCCATCTTTCTTTCTTGGCTGTTACTGAACTGTACCCCATCCTGAGTCCTTTTCTTTGTATGTGGAGTCACTATTGTCCTCATATGTTTGCCACCCTCTGAGTGTCTTACGCTCAGTTTTTGTAAGGTATTTTCCTCCTTCATCTTTAAGAGATGCTTATCAGTCCAGCAGTGAGCTGGTCTATTGTTTCTTTTTCTCCCTCCAGTCTCTTACTCACTCTGCCAACACATACTAGGCAGATACTCACTTGCCCAGGGTGGTTTATAGCCTGGCATAAGGATTCAGGTCCTTGTGCCAGGCACTAGATATCACAGAGTCAGCTGAGACCTGATCCCTCCCTGCTGCCCACTCTCTGGTGGGGAAGGGCGTTGGAAGGCAGTAGTACCCACATGAGAGAGGCTCTTTGGCCTGCCCAGTGTTCCCGAAGGAAGACTTTGCAAAGGACAATGGTAAGGAGGTGTGAGGCAGAGAAAAGGGTCAGTAGTCTGTGAAGTTAGGTGCTCTGAGTGGAGAACTGATGGAGAAATCCCCTGAAGACGCATTGGGCTTCAGAAATACTCACAGGGTAGGTCCACCCATCACCCTTTGTACTTGTGCCAGGGAGCCCCGTGTCTCAGGGTGCTTCTGACCCCAGCCGTCAGTCAGGGGCTCTTCTCACCTTCTCGTCGGAGGGGTCGCCATCGTCTGGCAGTGATGACCCACTTGCCCTCACTGAGAACAAAGTTCGTTAATGAGAATCTTTGTTATGGACTCGAGTTCTGAGCCAGGCGAGATGCGCACCCCGTCCGATTCACATCCAAACCACCAGGCTCTGGTGTTTGTGTTGGCAGTGATGGCAGCTGGGGAAGCCCAGAGTCCTCAGGTTGAGTTTCACAGATAAGTATGTGAAGATGCTGGGGAAGGCAGAGGCAATGTTGGAGATATATAGAATTTAAAATGCATCTTCTCATTCACTGAACACTTAAGTATGCATTTCATACTCTATAGCAGGCCCTCCTCTCAGCAAGGTTATATTGGTGATACCATATGGCACACAGATTGGTACCATAGTTCCAGGGAATAATGGACTTGTAGGTGGGTCATATGAGACTATGTGGGTGGGGTAGGGTGTCTCTTGTAATGTGTGGGTACAGAAAAGCCTTCTTAAGGGGGGACATTTTAATAACCACTCCAGAAAGAGAAAGCTCAATGTGCAGACTTGGGGGCAGGAGAAAGAAGGCTGTATTTGAAGAAGTTCAGCAAGTTCAATAAGGCAGAAAACTGACAGCGTTGCTTCCACATTCCAGATAATTTTCCTGGCTAATGAGTTTTTAACTTGGAGGAGAGAAGACAGTGATGAAACTAGATAGGAACTGTTAAAGTAGCTAAGCTACTTAGTTGGTGATGGCTCTAGGATTGAAGAAAAGTAGACCAAATTGGGTTCTCAGGTTAGTCAAGTTTTTTTCTTGGTGGGAGAAATTCTAAGGGACCCTCAAAGTTGTCCCCCTTGTTGTTTTGTTTGTTCATTTGTTTGGTTGGTTGGTTGGTTTAGTTTGAACCAGGGTTTCACTATGCAGTTCAGGCTGGCCTCGAACTCAACATTGCCAGGCTGACCTTGAATTCACGGAGATCTTCCTGCCTCAGCCTCCCAAGGCCTTGAATTATATGTGTGTGCCACCACACCAAGTGTTATCTTTTTGAGGCAGCATTTTACTAATGCAGTTCACTTTATAGCCCAGGATGGCCTCAAACTTGTAGCAGTCCTTTTGGCTCAGCCTCCCAAGAGCTGGGATTACAAGCATGATCCACCACTCTCAGCTGTTATTACTATTTTGTTAGGAGGAAAAGTGTGAGAATTACATGACTTGGTTCATTAGCCAGCTTGAATTTAAGTTGCATTCTAGGAGAGCTACCAAAAAGTAAGTGAATCTTGAACCTCAAATTCCAGATCAAAGCATGATGAAAAACATTTGTCATGTACATAGCCCTTACTACAACCCAAATAAAACTGTAACATTGTTGCATTCTTTTTTGCAGATAAATTTAAGAAGGAGTTAAGTTGTCTGCTTCACACAGCTCAGAATTAGAATCTGGAGTATTTATTACCTGTCGTTTTCCCATGTAGGTCTTAGGTGAGAATTTAGCATTTGATTTGAGTCTTGTGTCCTGTGTGAGTTCCTAAGTGGCTTCTAGCTCTAGGTGGCCCTTCCTTGCTTTGAGGGCGCAGCTGGACAGTGGCTGGACATCCGGAGCTTTCCCTCTCAAGCAAACACTGACTGCTATCCAGTGTGTTGGTGTTGCACATGCAAGTTTGAATGGGGAAATGGCTTTATGAACCTTGGTCCTCTCCTGTCTGTGTAAAGATTGGTGGTTGTTCAGTAGTAAACCCTGCTGGAGGGTGGAGAGCAGGCCCTGTTGAGCTGTTAGAGCCATCTCTTGGTGAGTGAGGTGCACCAGTCTTCCTGAAGTGGATTGGCCTCAAAGCACAGTGTGGAGGAGAACGCTTGTAGAAGTGAGCTGCAGAGAAGTCAGTAGCATGCGGAGAGAGGAATTTCTGGACGAGGCAGGCAGTTTGGGCTCATATACCTGTGCCAACCCTTGTCAGCCATTTCACCTTGACTGAGTACTGGTTTGCCTTCATTTTTTGACCAGATAAAATGGGAGTAGTCACTGGCTTATACTGATTATCATTTTTGTTGTTTCTGCTAGCTTTCTGTGATCCCCTGTGAAATGGGGGGTGGGCTCAGGTGGTGTGCCCAGGGTACCCAGCAGCACACCCCTACTGCCTAGGAGAGTCTGGATACAGTTCGGGCAGCACTGTGCAGCTGGCCGTGTCACTGGCCTCTGAGCACTCCTGAGTACTCCTTGCGTCAGTACTTGGAAAGAGCTGCTCCTCTCATCTGGCAGGTAGCGAAAACTCAGAAGCTCAAGAGACTTGCTGAACTAGTGGAGGGTGTCGCGGTGAAGGTGCACACAGTGCACTTCAACTGTGGTGTGTGCCGGAGCCAAGGCCGTCATAACCCAGCTTGTCTTTCCTTTCCAGATCCGGCCCCACATCGCCACTCTTCGCAAGTACACCTATGGCAAGCACATCCTGGCCAAGCTGGAGAAATACTACATGAAAAATGGAGTGGACTTGGGGCCTATCTGTGGCCCTCCTAATGGTATCATCTGAGCAGCGTGTCCTGACCCGTTCCCACTGACCTCATTGGCCCCTGGCAGGTCAACCAGCAACCTGAAATGTCCTAGTGTAGAACCTGAGATGGGCAAATGGTTGCTCTGGGATTGCTCCCTCCTCCAAAAAGGAATCAAATCAACCAGTGGAAAAGCCTTTGTAAATTTAATTTTATTACACATAACATGTACTAATTATTTTTTTTAATTGACTAATTGCCCTGCTGTTTTACTGGTGTATAGGATACTTGTACATAGATAACCAATGTACATGGGAGGCCACATATTTTGTTCAATGTTGTATCTATATTCCATATATGGAAACTTTCAGGGTGGTTGGTTTAACAAAAAAAGTTTTTTAAAAAAAAGAAAAAAAGGTTTTTAACTCATTTGCCTCATTGGCAAGTTTTGCAAATAGCTCTTCCCCACTTCCTCATTTTAGTAAAAAACAAAAACAAA